GGCCACGCTGGATGGGCAAGGGATGATAAGGGACTGCCACAGGCAGGGGTTCTCTGTTCCCCAGGGCAGAACTTGCTGCAGCTTCTGCTCTGCAGGGTCTGGAAAAATCAAATCAAATCAAACCTGGTTGAAATCTGCAGCCACTTTGGCCTTTTCAAGTTGGGACGACTTGAGGCTCACTCGTCAGCACTCCTGTCCCTGCTCGGGGTGTTTCTTCAACCACACTGTCTGTCGTGGTGTTATTGCTGGAGCTCCAGCTTCCAGCCTCCGTGGCACTTGGTGTCTGCTCCCCTTCCAAGGCCGCCGTTCGACACGTCCTTGATGATTTTGGGGTGATCGCCCAGTGCCTGCAGCGCATCCGCCTGGTCTTGGGTTGTTGGTGGCAACGGGGAGCCTCTCACCAGTCGCCCAGGGATTTGACACAGAGCCCAGGCCGCCCGTGTGATGCTCAGACGCTGCCTCCTCGGCTCGCCCTGCGGGTCCAAATAGCCTTTTGAGAGAGGTCTTATTTATTTCCCATTTTCATTAGCCTCAGCTTCCCAAACGGTTTCCCTGGTGGCAGCCAAACAACTTTTCATTCATCTTCAGAGATGATGTTCTCGCTTGCCCGTGGCTTTGCCCCCTGCTGAGACTCTTTTTATACAGGAAATTAATTTTTGATAGTCAAAATCATCAGGATGATTTGGTCAGTTCCCAGTTAACCCATTGCACTTCCTTTAAATATATCAGCCAGAGTCTCTGCACTTCGTTTAAGAGCCAGGGAGCGTAATTCTTTCTTCCTCCTGCTAACACCCATTCAGGACTGGCCACTGCCAGGCACAGCACAGGTGGAGCAGTGGATTTTTGGACTAAACGAGCACACCATCCTCAGGTCGGAGCCAGAGTCTGGCTTTGGTTCTGCAGTCAAGCATCCCATTCACAAACTGAGCCCAGCACCTTTCACATCCCATACTGGGCACGTGTTTCTTTACCTGTTCTCTTAATGAAGCCCATAGCTCAGTTGTTAAATGAGTGATGAGAAACGTGAAAACGAATCGCAGCTTAAAAGCTGGCAGTAGAAAGCAGCACAGCTCTGTCTGGATGCAGAGCAGGAAGAAGAGGGAGATGGTTCAGCCCCAGTAAGGCTGGAAGCACTGGGGGCTGCTGTCGCTCGGTCCTTTCTCGGGGAGGGGGGCACTGATGGGTGTTTTTGCTTTGTAGGTATCTCGTGACGGAGGGTCAGATTTTCATCCTCTACATTTTCACTTTCTTTGCCATGATGGCTTTAGTGATGCACCAGAAACGCAAAGGACTCGTCCTGGACAGCAATGGGCTTTTTCTCTTCTACTCCTTCATCATAACACTGGTCCTCATTGCTGTTTGGGTGGTTTGGCTGTGGAATGACAAAATTCTCAGGAAGAAGTACCCTGGTGTGATCTATATCCCTGAGCCGTGGGCATTTTACACCCTGCACATGAACAACCTCCATGCAGCAAAGGAAAGTTTATAAGTTTTGATATTTTAGAGTGGTTTGAAGAAAAAAAGAAAAAAATCTAGTTTTTCTAATGTAGATGTATTTCAAATAAATTCCTGACCAACATTAGCTGCAAGACTGTTAACTGGACCGAGCTGGGGGTGGGGGAGTTCAAATAAGAGGGAAAAATAGTCTTTGTGACTTAACGCTTTAAAAGCGGGGTGCTGGCGGGGGGGGGGGGTCCCCCCGGCCCGCCCTCCCCAGTGGACAACCCCCATA